TTTCCATCTCATATTTTTATAAGCAATCCTATATAATAAAACCCTAATAAGCAAATTAACCAAAAAGTGTAACAACCGGTTGCTATGATGTGCACTGACCACCAAGGGGCAGACACTTAACGCAGGAGCTGCCCCCTGGTGGTCAGTGCTCTCCCACAGGGGGAAGCACTGCTTATCCAAAAGCCGGGTTGATGGCTGGCAAGTGCAGCAGTGCTGGACATCCCTGGAGGGGTCCTGTGCTGTGAGAGGGTGCAGGCTGGGCTGAGGGTCAGGGCCCCCCCCCCTCCCCGGAAACAAATGTACAAATGTTGTGCACAGGGCCTCTAGTGTTATAATAATTCTCCTTCCTCATACACCTTTGTGTGAGAATATTTCCAGAAGACAAATTCCTAAATAGAGAATTATTATGTTGAGGTATAAATAAAATCTACAAACAGTAATGTCAATATATCAACACTACATAAATGTACACTTACAAACAATTACAGTGATAAATATTGCATTACATGTTTTGTTATAATAAAACAAGAAAATGTACTATTTGATAGATATTGCCAAACTGCCCTCTATATCTTAAGGCAATTTATTAATTATTCCCCATTTATACTTGTCTTCGGTTTGCAATAATTTGGTTCAGTTGTTATAAAAATAGATTTCTGTGTAAGTTAAGTAATCTGTAAGTTTTGAATAGAATTGTCTCACATTTCCCTCATACAGAGATTCTCAGAAAAAATTCCCAGGACATGGTGATGCTCTGGTGCAGAACTGGGGAAGCTAGAAACTGCTGGGAAGAGGCAGACCAGTTTTATGAAAGAACGGGCATCACTGAGTCACTTTGGCTGCCTGTCCTACTGTGATTTTGATTTGTTTGAAGTCTCCACTGAAAGCAAACAAGAGGCTTCATGTGACTCAAATCACACCTTTCAAATGATGTTCTAATCTCTGTATCATGTCTGTGACGGAGAGTCTTTAACTCCTTTCCTGCCCCACTCCTAGTATTATGTTGATACTAGTGCCCACTTATATGCACTCCATGGAGTTAAACCTTGAATGAGATGGGAAGGACAAAGAAGGATGGACAATGATGTTAATGTAACACAGACAAAATGGGCACTCCTGGGGCTGCATGCAGCGGGGTGACAAACCTAAAAAAATTATATCCAATCTGACTCGAAGATGCTTTGGAAAGTATTGTAGGCCTTTTTTTATTATTAATTAAAAAAAATGATTCTAGAGAGGGAGAAATGGGAGTGGGAAAAAGACAGAGAGAGAGGGGGAGAGAGAGAGAGAGAGAGAGAAAGAGAGAGAGAGAGAGAGAGAGAGAGAGAGAGAGAGAGAGAGAGAGAGAGAGAAAGAGAGAGAGAGAGATTGTTGCTTCCAAATGTGACCTGACTGGGATTGAACCCACAGCCTAGGTATGTGCCCCGACTGGGAATCTAACCCACAGATTTCAGGTGCACAGGCGATGCTCAACCACTGAGCCATACTGGCTGGACTAGAACTTTATTTTAATAAGTAAGAGCTGGTTTGTGTGTGTGTGTGTGTGACTTTCTCAACCAGATGGGGCAGTATGTTATAGTCCATGGAACACATCAGAAATAAGGCAGTGGTTTTCATTAGAGAAAAGTGATAAAAAGTTTAGGAAATCAGGAAAAATAAGTTTAGTAGACATATATATCATCTCGAACTGTTTAAAGATGAGGAAAAAAAAATCTCAAACCCTTTCTGCCAATTCCCAAAGCCTTATAAACTGCTTCAACTTTAAAGAAGAAAAGAACACTTGCTTGTTTATTGATTCGTGGGCCATAGGTGGCACAATCATCCTATTGGCCGGCTTACGAGATCTGTCAAAGCAAGGCTTTCTGAAGATGAAACAGGAAATGCCTATATTAGGGTGCACCATGACCTGACCTCTCACCGGCAAGGAAGTCTTGAATCCAGAGAAACCTAAAAGCTGGTGTGTTTATTCTAGTGCATTTTTTTCATGAGTGAATGGCCATTCACAGCTCAGGATTTTATGCAAGAGACATTCATGGCTTGCTTGTGGATTAACCAACTCAGATGCTTGTTAAGCAGCTACTAGGTATGAGAATGAATTAGGCAGTGGAGATATTTGGTGGGCATCTGCAAACATGAAAGACTGAGCTGATGTAGAAGGTTCTTCCTTTTTCAACAAACACAGGAATGCCAGACAGAATACAACAAGACAGATTTTAATAATACCTAACTGCGTTTAGAAAATGTCTAGATGCCAGTGCCCACCAGAGCATATTTGCCTGTCTCCCTCTAAGAAGTGTGCCCTGCATCCTTCCCCCTCTTCAGCTACCAGTGTCATTATTGCCAATAACACTGCTGTAAGTTTTTATGAATTTTCTATGTTTTTGAAGTTATATTAACATTAAAATTTATACTCAATGATACTATCACAATTTCCCACTACTAATGGGATTATCATTTGTTTGAAAGCATTAGCATAAGATTTACCTCCAACAATCTCTACTGTGATTTTTTAATGCCCTTGACACTTGCAGTGAGCAGTAAGTCTATAATACGAGAAGGCTGGTAAGCATATAAATGTCTTTCTTGGGAAGAAAGGGCTTTTTATTTTCATCCTGGTTGGACTCGGGTTCTTTGATAGAGTGATTGGTAGGCTATAAAGTATTAAAGGCTCAGAACACTGTGTTAGTTTGTAGATGTGTTCAAACAAGTTCCCGGTTATTCAGGGGACATGTTTATATTCTAGGAAGATTCCCTCCTCTGCTCCTTTTTATGTTGCTTCTTACCTGACTTACATAAAAATATAATAAATTGGGTGCTTGCAGGAACGATAGAACCATGACGTGTTTGGAAGTTAAGGGGCCCCAAAATCACTCTCTCCAACTGACTTTCTAAGGAGACGGGAGTTCGATGCATTGTTAGTGCAGCTCTGGAAACAGGCTTATGTCAGAGGCTGGCAAGAGGAGTTTCTCTCTTGGGAAGTTGTGTGGGGCCAGGAAGGTGGATGGGCAGAGCCAGTGTAGTGGGTGGGAGACCCACATGTTCTCAGGTCCCGAATTATGAAATTCACAGCATCATCATCATGAAAATCTTAAGTTTTGAACAAGGCAACTGACATTTTCACAAGGTCCTGCAACTTTAATATCTGGAACTATCTATAGGGTTTGGAGCTACACAGACTTGAGTTCAAGTTCTAGCTATTGACTGCCTCAGTTTCCTTATCTGTAAAAATGACAATATGTTGTCTTCTCAAACTGGAAGTGAGAGCTCAAGGTACATGTCTAGTACACAGGGGACCTGAAAGGCAGTGATAGACCCGGAGACATGCTTTTTATCGACATGTGCCGTATCAACACTTAAACTTACGACTATGACATAATGTCAGAAACACTAGCCAGCTGGGACAAGCAGGCATCACCTGTGTGGTACCGAAGCCAATCCTAGGTGTGCTGGCTCAGAACACACCAAGCAAAGAATGTTTTCTTAAGGGGAGCATTCTAAGGCTGAGGGCCCTGTCCATCAGTTATCAACCTTTTTGCTGCTATGACACTCGACAGATATGTTTACCAGCACAACACATTCTCAGTGTCTCACATTCACACATGCTTCCTTCTTTTCCAGAAAACTCTCAAGGTAGCGAACAAGTGAGACTGGCATTATTATGAAGATGCCCTTGCCTTGGATATAACTTATTTGCAAACTTCAGTATTTCAACCATTATTTGTAACACATGGTTTCCCCCATACCACACGACATAATTTGACAAGGCAGCGTATCACAATTCCAACGCTGAGAACTAGAAATAAGGATGGATCCTCAGGATCCCAAACAAGAGACTTCCCTCCCACTCCCATGACAAGTGGGACAGACTGGGACCAATAGGAGCCCGCCATGACTTTGACAATGTGCGTAGCTGTGCTACGGCCTGAATAAGTGATGCCAGTTACCAGGCAGGACAGCCAGAATCAGAGGAACATTGGGCAGTTGGTCAGACAGACTTGTGATGAATACCTGACAAGCAATCTTAAAACATCTGGCTAAACATTTTACATCTCCATCCTCCTCCCTCCCCGAGAATGGAGAAAAGATTTTAAATTGAATTCATAAGAAACATAAGCTGATTCCTGGGCACTTGGGGGCTTTGGTCCAAAAAAATTTCTCATGGGATTAAAGTAGGAATGAGGGTGACCTTTGTTGCATTCAATTTAGGGTGTTTGGGGGCTAAGAGTCCAGATGTGTGACTTTCAGGGGAAGCACCTCAGCTGCACTCAGCTTCCTTTGCTGCTCAGGTCTGTGGGCACATGCATATTGGGAGACATGAGCCCATTGTCTCTGGGGTGTCCTGCATTTTCTCTCTCTGGCCCAAAGGGATTTTGTGGGTAGTGATGGCCAAAGCTGGACCATCTCCCATCCACAGGGCAGCCTGTGAATGGCCAGAGGAAATTACAGCTCTTCTTCCAAGATCCCTCATCAGAACAAGTTATTTCTCCTTTGTCTCAGTGGTGGGAGTTGGTACCTAAATAATGGTACAGCTCTTAGACCAACATAACATGGCACATGATACCCGAAAGATGCTTCAGTCTCCAATGATTAGAATTAATGCCTGCCTAATTTACCAAACACCTCAAATGTTTATCTTTGGAAATGGCAGTTTTGGCTTAGACAACCGGGATATCACTCTTTGAACCTCTTAAGGTTCATGGTAAGCAAATCATAAGCCACCACATAGATTCTCAGAAAACCAGAGACAGTGCCCCACAATGTGGCCACAGCAGCAGCTTTTAGCACAAATGAAAGAAAACACAAACGCAGTCAGAGGAGGACAATATGATGGGCATTGGTGTCTCTGTCCTCACCTAACCCAGTCCTTCCAGGCTCAGCAATAGATTCTGCTTCCTGGGCACCAGTTTTCCAGCACATTGTACTAGATCCTGGGAAAGAAATCTAAAGAATGCTTTGATAGCATTTCTGGTTTTGGGTTATTCTGTGATTGTTTTTCTTACCTGTTGTCGAATTTCTTCCTCCATTTTTACGGGCGAGCCCAATTCTGCAACTTGTTTGACACCTTCGCTGGCATATCCTCCGTACTCCCACAGCACGTAATTCTTGGAGTGGGATCCACCAATGATCGCAGACCAGTGGTTGGCCCGACCTAGGAAAGCCAATCAGAATGCAGATGTCAGTGTGGCTGTGGCTCAAACTCAAAGCCCTTTAATGATGGGGACGAAGTATAATTGGACAATGACTAAACCAGAGCTGGCTACCCACCTGGTTGGTGCTAGGCCCTGTGCTACACAGCGATGAGTAAGACAGTCCCTATGGACAGGTAAGTCTTGGGAATATGCAGACAGGGCAACAGTAGATGACTGACTAAGACACAGAGGCAGCCCAGAATGATGGCTTTCATTTGGAAGGGTTTCAGAGAAGGGAACAGCTGAGAGAATTTTAAAGGCTGATCAAATTTGTAAGATAGAATAGAGAGGCAATACTATTTCTGGCAGGCTAAGAAACATTAAATAACACTGTGTGTTTGGGGAGCCATAAGTAATTTAGCATTGCTGTGTCACAAACTGTCAAGGGAAGAGGTAAGAAATAATGCCAGGGAGGCAGGAAGAAGCCTACTCATGGATGGCTTTGTTCTAAATACTTCAGGAATCTGGATGTCATTTGAAAGGGTTTGAAACCACAGAAGGGCTCTGTGTAGGGAAGTGATGTGATCACATTTGAATTTCAGATAAATCATCCAGGCAGCAGTGTAGAGAATGCATTAGAGGGAGCAAAATTGTAGTGCAGAGCTGGGGAGGTCAGCAAGGAGCAAAAAGTAAAGGGGTAGAGTGTGAAATAGGCTTACAATTCTGGGGAATAAGCATTGTTGCCTTTAGCTGGCTTTTCTGTACATCCCAGCATGGGGGTTGGGGAAGGCAGGCTAGCCATGCTGAAGGATGCAAAGGCAGTTGGCATATGAGGAAGTGATCAGTCCACTGTGGTTTGGTGAGGATCATGCAGGAGGATGATTGTTGTGGGATGTAGGCCCTGGAAATTAATGATCGACACAAGAGGAGAGCAGAATAAGGTCTGGGTGGGACCAAGACAGATCTTAACCTGGAGATTTTTTTAAAGTCCCAGAGAGAGGAGCAGAGTCAATATCAGTGTGACATTGGGTTTGCTTTGCATGTGATGAATGTATATATATATATATATATAATATATATAATGAATAAATATATAATGAATATATATATATAATGAATAAATATATAATGAATATATATATATTATATATGTCTTACTAAGTTACATACAATTCATCATAGAGTTGGCTTAGTTCTCTGCCATTCTTTGGTTGGATTTTAAAATGCTTCAGTTAAAGAACATTTTCAGGTGTAGGAAAGAGGAAAACTTGCACTGGGCGGCCACAACTGACATTTGCAGTTCATCACCTGTGGCCCAGTGTGGGCAGAACGCTCCACTGCAACCCACCACTTAGGAAATGACTCCCATCAGGGCTAGGTCCTGTTTATGTTTGCCACCTGCTACCCCATGGGCCCTGCTCCCAGGGGCACATTAAGAGCATGGGCACAAAGCCAGCCTTCTGGCCTGCTGAGGGCAGTCTTGCCCCACCCCAGGCAGATGACAACACCATGTGGGTCTGCCCAACTGCTTGTTCATTATTTCCCACACATCAGGGAGATGCAAACTTGTGTTTATCTGTCATGTTTCTAGAGAAGACAGATGGAGACGCTGCCAGCTATTGCTTTCCCTCACTTCCTGAGTGAGGAGAATGTCCTAGCTGTCATCTCAGCCAAGAGCACTGCTTGTAGTAAGAGCAAGAACAGGAACGAGTGCTGGCCTTTGGTTCATGATGTGAACTCAGGGAAACCAGTCAAAGCACCTCTTGGTCCCCTTGTTCGGTGCCATCAAAATGCCCCCTTGTTCCAGACCTATCCTACCTGCAACTTAAAAAAAATATGTTTTTATTGATTTCAGAGAGGAAGGGAGAGGAAGAGAGAGATAGAAACATCAATGATGAGAGAATCATTGATCTGCTGCCTCCTGCACAGCCCACACTGGGGATCAAGTCTGCAAACTGGGCGTGTACCCTGACTGGGAATGGAACCATGACCTCCTGGTTCATAGGTTGATGCTCAACCACTGAGCCATGCTGGTCTGACATCCTACCTACAATTTTTGTACCTCAGTGGCTTAACCCATGCTGGTCCCTTCGTGCTTCTTTGCTCTTGACTTGGCCAACTCATCCTTCCTTCGTGATACCCAGAAGCCTCCCAAGACTGACTGAAACCTTTGTCATAGGTTTCCTCTAGCAAACATAATAATCACTTGTTACATGTCTGCTTTCCCACTAGACTTAAGCTCCCTGATAGAATTTGTTTTCAGCACTGCATCCCCAGTACCTGGCACTGTGCCTGATACAGTGTGAGTGCTCAGTACACATTTCCTAAAGCATTTCATCCAAATGATCCAGTGGGAAGGTGGCAGTATCTGTGCCTGGAGCTTTTGGGAGCAGGTTTGTACAGATTGGATTCAATGTGATTACATTAAAATCTCAGTTCAGCATAGTTCCTGACACCTACAGGGCTAACGCACTTAGCTATCCTGCATGCTATTGATATTATGAAACAAACATCAACCAACAACAGAAAAGAAACCATTGGTCTTAAAACCAACAGAGAGGGATCCAAGTCCTGGCATTGCTACTTCCTAACTGTGCAAACTTGGTCAAATTCCAATTACTTTATCTCCCTGAGTTTCGTTTGGCTTTCTCTTTTATAATTCAAGAATGATAATGCCTACCTTATCAACCTATTATATGAATTAAATTAAATTATTGAAAAAAGGATATAATATATGTGCAATTTCTACTGGCAGCACAATAGACACTTAATAATTATCATTTCCTCCTTCCCTGGTTGTTAGGGAGACTGTAAAAATGAGTAAAACACAAAACCTGCCTTAATTCAGTAAAGAAGATAAGAAATAGATAATATGGAACAGGATAAGAGAATGGAAACAAGCACAATCATAGGGGGATTAGGAGATGGGCCCAGATGGGTCTTTCTGGTTTATTCATTCAACTTCCATTAAATCTGTGCCAAGTGAAGTGGCTGGCCATAGACCCTGACAGGAATTAGATATGGTGCTTGCTCTGGAGGGACTCATAGTCTAGGGGTGGAGAAACAGATGGATAAGCAGATTACTTACAATTAAGCATGGTCAGGGTTATTACAGAAACAAGAACACAGAGCACAGGGGATGGAGCAGCTTACTCCAAATTCCCCTAACATCCAACGATTCAGTCTAAAGGCACATGTGCAATGAAGCAAGTGCCTCAAGAGTATGATGCCTTTGTGGTTTCTTACCCTTCAATAAATTTATTAGACCAGTTAGACATTTTAGTCAATACATTTGTAAGCTTTCTACAATGATCTTACAACATACCACATTAATTCACATTTTAACACATGAATAACATCAGCCACATGACAGATACCTTCAGGGCACTAGGCTAGGGTGAGGGACCAGACTGCACACTCCCTGTTGGAACAGGCCAGGCAACCATTGAAAAACAATTTGAAAGGACATGATTTTAGGTGAGGGGCAGTCGTTCAGGTGCAGAATGATACAGGGGAGAAAAGCATGATTACCACGAGCCAGCCATTCAATCTCTTAGAATCTCAGCTTTTCAAAAAAAATTTTTTTTCAACCACATTTTACATTCAATACCATTTCATACCAGTTTCAGAGGTACAACAGCAAATGGTCAGAAAACCGTGCACTCTACAGAGTGGTCCCCCTGCTGTCCCAAGCACTCACATGGCCCCATACCCAGCTACCTCGACATTATCAACTATATCCCCCATTCTGCAATCTGCATCTCTGTGGCTATTCTGCAACTATCAATTTGCACTGGGGGGAAATAAAAAGAGAATAATTATTGGGCTTCACTGTCTCTATCAGAGTTGTGCAAAGTAATTGGGCTGGTTTTGGAAAAAACTATGAAAACTTGAAAAAACTGTATAAAACAAAGGTCTCTGAACGATTATAGACAGAAAGCACTATGAGAATACACAAGAGGAATTCAGAAGAAGCGGGGGGACCTAGGAAATGTTCTCATTGGAAGGAGGCTCCCATGGGCAGATTGGGCAGTAGGAAAGGATTCTATTAAAAAAAAATAGATAAGAGGATTAAACACTAACTGAAGGGTATTAGGTGTTAGGTATAATGCTTTCCTAGATGTAATGCTCCCAACAACCTCACTCTCATTGTCTAGATGAGGGCACTGAGTCCCAGAGATGGCAAGGAACCTACCCAAGCTCACAGAGCTAGTGATGAGCAAAGCTTGGATTCAAACCCAGGTCTGCCTGATCCCAGAAGACACACTCTTTTCTCTACATCCTCCCGAGAGGCCAGGAACCAGAAAAAATCATTTGATAGCCTGAGGAGTTGAAGACAAAGAAATAAGATAAAAAAGAAAGCCAGGGCCAGGCTGTGAGAGGGTGCTGAATGCCTGTCATGGTAAATGGCATTGGTAAAAGGGGAACACATGATGGGAGTTTTCTTCTGGGAAGAATGACAATAGCTACATATTGAGCTGATATTATGTGCCAGGCTCTGTGCCAAGAGAGATTAAACACTCAAAAATAAAACCATTTTGATACAGATGAAATTATAATTTTCATTTTTCACATGAGGAAACTTTGGCTCAGAGACGTTAAGTTAATCCACGATCACAGAAACAGATGATTGAAGACGCTGGAATTGAGTTAGATAGGTCTGGTGCCAGGGCCCAGCTCTTCTCCACCCACTGCATCACATCTCCAGCAGAATACGCTCCAGAGGGCTCAAGGGTGAAGGGACCAAATAGGAGACCCACTGGCATTTCCTGAATGAGTTGTATAAGTTCTGCCTTAGGGCACTGGAGAGAAAATGGATACTCTGGGTCAAGGTATGAGCAATAAGAGGAAAGATGGGACAATCTTTGGGAGACAGTTTGGTGAAATAGTTAAAACTCTGATTTTTGGATTAGACTAACATATACTCTAGTCTCAGTTCTGAAACTATCTAGCTTAAATAATCACTCTCAACCTCAGTTTCTTTTTCTATAAAGTAGGAATATTGACATAACCAACCTCC